AGCGGGCCCTGAGGCCGCTCCACACCCCCTCCCTCCCCCCCTCCCCCCCCGTTCCGATCTCGCGCCCCCTCCGCCACTGCCGCCGTGTCCGCTCCCTCCCCGACACCCCTTACCCCCCCCCCTTCCCCGTCCTTCCCCCCGCGCCCGTTCACCTCCTCGCCCGCCCTCAGCCCCCGCCCTCCCTTCCTCACTTTGCCTCCGCTATTTCAGTCTTTCCACTGCCCCGCCGCACCTCCACCCCCTCCGCCCACCCCCTCCCCCTCCTCACTTTTCCCGCTCATCCTCCTTGATCAGCGATCCGCGGAGAGCCGTGCAATGTTCCCTATTCCCAATACATGAAAAATATAACAACCGCGCGCCAGCGCGAATATTTTCTGGCGTTCTAGAAACGCGCGCGTGCAAACTCATATACAACGGACAAGGCAGCGCGCCGCCGATCCTTTTCTCGCCCGCTGCGTTTTTCGTTTTTTTTTTTTTTTTTTTTTTTGAACGCACGCGCGCATAGCGCCGCTCCGACCTGGCACGTTTAAGCAGGGCGCAACGTGGAGTCGCGCGAACGCAACTGCGTTTTTGACCAGAACACTAGTCAAGGCCACAACGGGGAAGCGCGGGGGGGGGCGGGGGGCGACTTTGCAAACATCCGCACCTCGCGTGTCCCGATCTCTGAATGACAATCACCCAGTCAGCTATGTCTGGAAGACATCACGCTCTGCGCGCGCCCTCTTAATGCACCCTTCTTAATGCACCCTCTTAATGCACCTCCCTCTTAATGCACCCTCTTAATGCACCCTCTTGACGCACCCTCTTAATGTACCCTCTTAACGCACCGTCTTAATGCACCCTCTTGACGTGATTTCCTCTTAATGTACCCTCTTAATGCAACCTCTTAATGCACCCTCTTGATGCGACTACCCGCCTCTCAATGTGAATAAACCTCTTAATGCGCCCTCTTAATGCACCCTCTTAATGCACCCCTCTTGACGTGAAAAACCCGCCCCTCTTGATGCACCCTCTTAATGCGCCCTCTTGGCGCATTTTCGTCTTGATGCGCCCTCTTGATCTTGACGCGTCCTCTTGACGTGAAAACCCGCGCGTCTTGACGTGCGTTTGCCGCTTTAGATGCCCTTCTGTAGATGCCCAGTCTCGCTTCAGAGGCGCGTCTGACGTCGCTCCGCCCGAATGCATGGCGCCCTCCGACGACGTCGTCCGAACCTGCGGAAAGCGGCGGCGCCGCCTCTCTCTTGTTCGGATCCACGTAACGCAGCGCCTTCACAGCCGCTGCCGCCGCTGCTGTGGAAGGTCGGGCACCGCCTGTGGACCCCGCTGCACGGCTCGGCCGCGTTGTAGATGCCCCGCAAGGGGCTATGCGCAGCCGTCCAGAGCAGGTCGAATAACTGCCGCTGCGGCTGGGCCCCATCGCGCTGCCGCTGGGCGCGGGGCTTCGGCTGGGCGCGAGGCCGCGGCTGGGCCCCATCGCGCTGCTGGACAAATTCGCACCCGTTGGCGATGCATCGCGAAACTACAAGTCAAGCCCGAGGGCGAACTACTCCACCAGGGCGTCCTGGGGGTCTCCCACCTGTTATCGCCCAATATCGTACCACCACGGAACTCCGTATAGTTTCGCGGGGTCCGTCGGCCTGGACATGTGCGCCGCACGTCGGCGGTGCATGAAACCGCCATTACGGTGCATGAAACCCCCTGCCCCTGCTCGTCCTCGCCGTCGTGCTCCTCGTCGTCGTGCCCGCCGTGCTCGTCGTCATGCTCGGTGTCGTCGTGCTCGTCGTCGTGCTTGCGGTGTGTTCGTGGTCGTAGTCGTGCTCGTGGTCGTCGTCGCGTTGTGCTCGTGGTCGTCGTCGTCGCGCTCGTCGTCGTGCCCGTGGTCGCGGTCATCGTCGTCGTCGTCGCGGTCGTCGTCGCGCGTTCCGGAACTGCCGACAGGCACCTCGCTTACGCCAGCGGGCAAATGCTGGCGTGCGGGGCAAAGAAACGCGACGAGGGATTGCGGGACAAAAAAACACACGAGCTTGCACTCGGTAAAGAAGGGCGCGCCCGAGCTACACATTTTTTACTTCAGGTAGCGAAACGAAACCGCCGACGCAAGCGATGAGGCGTTGGATGGAAAAGCCAGGAAGTCCAAAGTGAAGGCGCGTTCGCTTTGGACGCCCCTCTGGCGGAGCGGGAGGGGGGCGCAAGAAAGCGTTGCATTCTAGCGCATCAATTCGAAATAACATATATCAAACGAGGGCGACGGACCGAGAAAAGCAAATATAGAATGGACACAAACAGCCGCGCATCGAATAATGGCAATGGGCAGAAGCAGGGCGCGAGTACAAAAGGCCATACGCATCAAATAATAATGCGAAAAGCAACGGGCATTGCCCAACTAACTCACATAACATAGCTATCATATCTCTCATCGGTAACGTATCTATCATAACAACTTTAGCTAGCATACTTACGCAACACTTACAAGTACATAAAATAGGTATCATAGCATAGCATAGCTAGCATGCCATAGCATACAAGCTAACGCACATAGCATGGATAGCATACCATATCCTATCATAACTAACACTGCGTACAATACGTACAATACGTAGTAGTTGTGTAATACGTACCATACGTACAAGTATTACGTACAATACATACCGTGCGCGAGGAGAGAGGAGGGAGGGGAAGGGCGAGGAGGGAGTACAATACATACCGTACTGCGTACAATACATATCGTAAATTACTGTACGCACAACACATACAATCCATACAAGTACTACGTACAAGTACTACGAGGAGGGAGGACGGAGGGAGGGCGGAGGAGGGAGGACGGAGGAGGGAGGGGCGAGGAGGGAGGAGGGAGGGGAGGGGCGATGAGGGAGGAGGGAGGTGCGTGCATACACACATGCATGCACGCACGCACGCACGCGCGCACGCACGCACGCACGCACACACACACAAACACACACACACACACACACACACACACACACACACACACACACGCACACACACATACGCGCACAGAATGTACACCCACGCTCTGCATACACACGGGGCTGAGAGGGGACAAGGGGCGGGGGCATGTGGAGGATTGGGGAAACAATGCGGACAAACAATCGGGGAGTGGCCGAGTTGGGCGGAGGTGCAGAGCTAGAAAAAGGATATGGGAGGATGGGGGAGAAGCAATGGGGAAAGGAGGGTGAGGGATAATGCAGGCATGCGCGCGTGCAACAGACACCACCCCAACACTCCATATCGTCCGAACTTCCCCTCCCCCACCCTTCCCCGCTCCCGACCGGCCAAACCCAACCCGTCCCAACTCTTTATCGGCCGAGACTCCTGGAGCTCCAAAGGGGCATATGGCGTATGAGAAGTGGCCCCAGGCGCCCCGCCCTAGTCCCCAGCGGGCCCAGAGGAGGGAGGGCATTGGAGCCCAATCGCATTTCGGCACACCCCTCACGCAGCAAACGCTGGAGTGAAGACCCGCCCCCTAGACCCCATATGGGGTTGCAGGGGGCCCACGCCCTTCCTTCCCCGAACCCCAGCGGGCCCATAGGAGGGAAGCCAGGGACGCCCAAACACATTTCGGCACACCCCTCGCGCGGGGAACACTGGAACCAACTTAGAGCAACCCTGGACACCTGGAGGGGCGCATGCGGCGTGTGAGAAATCGCACTGGGCGGCGCGTGAGAAAACCTCAACCCCAAGAAGGGGCACACGGCGTGGGAGAAGTGACCCAAGACACAGTGCCTTCATTCCCAGCGGGCCCACAGGAGGGAGGCCATGGGGGAGTCAAGCGCATTTTGGCACACCCCTCACGCGCAAACGCTGCAGTCGACAGAAGCCCCCATAGACCCCTAGGGGTCGCAAGAGCCCCCCCCCCCCAGACACCCTGAACCCCAACGGGCCCATAGGAGGGAGACCAGGGGGGGCCCAAACACATTTCGGCACACCCCTCACGCGGAAAACGATACCGTCAACCTCAGCCCCCTAGACCCCAAGGGGTCGCAGGAAGCCCCCAGGCACCCTGAACCCCAGCGGGCCCATATGAGGGTGGCAAGGGGAGCCCGAGACCATTTCGAGACACCCTTCACGCGGGGAACACTGGACGCATGTTAGAGGCACCCTAAGCCCCTGGGGGGGGCGCGTGCGGCGTGTGAGAAATCACACTGGGCGGCGTGTGAGAAAACCTCAACCCCAAGGGGGGCATACGGCGTGTAAGAAGTGATCCAAAACACCGCACCGTCATCCCCAGCGGGCCCACAGGAGGGAGGCCATGTGGGAGCCAAGCGCATTTCGGCACACCCCTCACACAGCAAACGCTGCAGTCAACCGAAGCCCCCCTAGACCCCTAGGGGTCGCAAGAGGCCCCCAGACACCCTGAACCCCAACGGGCCCATAGGAGGGAGACCAGGGGGGCCCAAGCACATTTCGGCACACCCCTCACGCGGACAACGATACAGTCAACCTCAGCCCCCTAGACCCCAAGGGAGCACAGGAAGCCCCCCAGGCACCCTGAACCCCAGCGGGCCCATATGAGGGGGGCCAGGGGGCCCAAGCACATTTCGACACCCCCCCCACGCGGAAAACGATACAGTCAACTTAAGCCCCCTAGACCCCAAGGGGTCGCAGGAAGCCTCCAGACACCCTGAACCCCAGCGGGCCCATAGGAGGGAGGCCATGGGAGCCCGAGCACATTTCGGCACACCCCTCACGACAAGAACGCTGGAAGCAACATACCCCCCTAGACCCACGGGGGTCGCAGGGAGCCCCCAGACACCCTGAACCCCAGCGGGCCCATAGGAGGGAGGCCAAGGGAACCCGAGCAGATTTCGGCACACACCTCACGCAGATCCGAAAGCTGCCGCACGTCGGCACGCCCCTGATAGTGACGGCGTAGCCGAAAATTGTTATCATGATAGTGTTGGTGGTGGCGTAGGCACTGATGGTGGTGAATTGTGTTTCACTCATGTTTCAAGGTATGATCATCATACCGCGGCCCGCGCCTGTCCGCGAGCCGTCTGCCACCTGCTCTTGGCCATGCTGAGGTGCTTGCGGCGCAGCTCAGTCTTCTGGTCCTTCGTGGCATGGTCGGGGTTCGGCGGCACCTCGAACAGCCACTTCTTGATCGTCTCGTCGCCTGGGTACAACCTGTCGGAGATCATCAGGTTGCACGACGTGTGGAAGTAGCAGCACACGTGCACTCCACCCTTGGTCTTGCCCCTAACGATGCGGCCAGCCAGGCGGCCACGGTAGTTCATGTAGCCGAACTCGGACGGGCCGTCCAACTCCCGTATTGGATCTGGTGACGGCGGGGCGGCGCCCATGGCTGGGCCTCCAATGTCGGGGTTCTCCGCTGCGCTCACCAGGCCAACGTCCTCCGCGGCAGCAACCACTCCCTCCGCGTTCTTGTCGGTCAGGTCCTCGCCCTCGCTCGCATTCTCATCGCCGCCTGCGGGGCCTGCCCCAGCCAAGATGCCCCCGACGGCGCCCGACGGCGGAGGCTCGACCACGGCAGACGCGTCCCCCTCGTCGTAGCTGAGGTCCTGGTCGGCGCCCTCCTGGAAGAGATCGGACTCCGCGGAGGCCTCGTCCAGCTCGGAGGGCCCTGGCACCTGCATCTCCTCGTCGGCGACCTGGGCGACCTCGCCTGCAGACGGCAGCGGCTGGCCTGAGGTCGCCTCGGCCACGGGCGGAGGCGATTGAAGTGGCCCCGCAATCGCCGTGACCGCCGCGGGGGGGCCGCCGCGTGCTCCCGCGCGCCCAGAGCCGCCGCCGCCGCGCCCCGCGCCCACCGAAGCCTTCCGCTTCGGAGCAGCGGGCCCGTCCTCGTCGAGGGGGTTCCCCCTGAGGAGGCCGTCGGTGGGCGCCTTGCGCTTGGCGCGCGCTGGCGCCTTCGGGGGGCGCGAGGCGTCGCCGCCGAAGAGCCCGGCAACGAACCTGATGCCGTGCACCTCGGACCACATCAGGCTCCCGTCGTAGCCCACGCACTTGTAGTCCAGGTGGTGCAGAGACGCCGCGCGCATGGAACTGACAAGCTCCCAGATGAACTCGTCAGACGTCTGGCAGTCCAGCACGACGAACTTCTCTGACACCCTGCAAGCCCTCACAGCTATACCCACTAGAAAAGGCAGCGGAAGTTCAGGAGCCGAGGAGTCGATGCCATCGTCCTCGAAATAGAACTTGCACTTAGTGACGTCGAACACCTGGGGGCTGTGGCACGTGCCCGTGATGAAGCATGCGTATCTCACTTTGCTGTGCGGCGGGGTCAAGCTAGCGCCTTCAATCATGATGAGCTCCGTGCCCTCGTCTGCGACCTCCTTGCCAAACGACCTGATGCGGGCGTGGATATTCTTCTCAACGTTAGCGAACTTCGCGGGATTGGCGAGCGACTGTCGATCGTGGTTCCGCGCTTGGCGACCGTACCCCCAGAAGCTGTACTCCTTAAACGCCTCGTAGTTCACCGAAGTGTTGGGCTTCATGACCTCGTCATTGGCTCCACTATTGATGATGGTATCGTCGGATGGCCACCCGTGCGTCACAACGTGTCGGTGGAGCTCGTGCTTGGTGATGGGCGTGGATCAGCAACCACAATTCCACGATGTCTTGTACGGTTGCACTGCGACGCCTCCCCTATCCCGATCGGCGTCGCCATCTGGCGGGCCTCCCATCCAATCCTCATACAGATCACGTTCGACGGAAAGCCTGCCCTCATCTGTCATCTTCCCCCATCGCCCCTTGAAGCCCTCCACGACTGCATTGTACTCTGCGGTTGACAACCGTCTCCCCTTGGACTGCCTGGCAGCGTGCACGCACTTGTTAAAGGCCAGCATGTACGGGTTGAGTCCTCTGCGGCACGGCTGAGTTCCACCGCGACCGCCTGCTGCCCGAGCTGGCGCCGTCACCAGCGTCGAGGGGTCAGGCCGCTCTGCGACCACTGGGGCGAGGAAGACGTCCTGGTCGCTCGCGGCCACGGCTTCGGCCGCAGCTGGCGAGGAGCTCGACGAAGGCCACTCGATCGCCAGCGCCAGCCGCGTGTCGGGCGCGTCGGCCAGGGCGAACCGCATGGGGCCACTGGTGCAGCCGTCGTCGCAGATGCGAGGCATCAGCTGCATGGTCTCCGACGGCGACGGGCCCTGCATCTTCGACCGCTTCGACGACACTGGATCGACGCCGCCTCGAGCGAGATGCACGTGCAAGGCCTCGCGCATCATCTGTTCGCGGACCACGTGCACTGAGCTCCTCCCTGGGGCCCTCCGCGTGTGGTATTGTGCCAGCTGCGAGTTCGAGCGCTCAATGTTGGCTATGTCGTAGGGGTGGCGGTCGAAGTCGGCCGCGAGGACCGAGCGGCACTGCGAGCTAAGCAGCAGCGACCTCGTGCCGAACTTCCTTCGGATGCCGTAGCTGTAGACGTCCAGCCCCCTCCTGCAGGCAACGGGGCTCGACGACGCCGCCGACGACGCATGGGGGCGAGGGGTCGACGATGCGGACGAGGAGGAAGATCAAGGCGACGGGCAATATGGCACTGAAACCGCGGAGGAAACAATAACGCGACGAGGAAGAGGATGCGGGAGGCGATGATGATACTGGGTTGCACCCCTGCCCCCATGCGACGGCGGCGGCGGCGTCGAACCCCCTGCCCCGCGTCCTCGGTGCGCTCAGCAGCTCGCGCACCACCTGGTCCTTCATCTCGTCGGAGGCCCCCGAGTCGACGAGGGCGTAGAGCTTGTACGGCCACGTGCTGTACTTCACCTCGTAGCGCCTGAAGGCGCTGGTAGCCAAGCGCAAGATCACACCCCTCGACCTGCGCATGAATGCCTCGTCATTCACGGGGGCGCCCACAGCGTCGAGCAGCGCCCACGGCAACCTCGCAGGCCCCCCCCCCTTGACCACAGTCTCCCAAGCAAAGACTCGAGCTCCTGCAAGCACTTGCCGATGAGCGACCTCCTCTGGTCCACCAACATGCCCACCTTGGAGAACTTCGGCTCGCCGTCGTCAGAGTCCTGAGTCGGCTGGTCCCCGAGCAGCGGGTACAACAAGTGCTTATCAAAAACGCTGACTGACGCGGTCAGCACGGCAAGATCGTGGAACGTCGAGTCGTCGTCGTAGTACCCCCTGACCTTCTTGATCCTCGCGCCGCGCAGTAGCTCCCGCAGCTTTTCCGACGCCTCGCCCAGGCTCATGTCAACGAAATCGGAGTGGTCCTTTGGCGGCTGGAGTGCGAAGCAGTCAAGGCCTAAACGAAAAAGACACCGTCGGCACAGCGTACGCCTGAAATTCGGCAATGCGCGGGTCCAAGTGCTTTCCCCTGGAATGGGGTCGGCAGTCCCAAACATAGAGTCCACCGCCGCACGCACAGCCTTGTCCGCAGTCTCTGTCTGGTTCGCGCAGCAGGGCAACTCTGTCTCTGGGTTCCAGCAGTAGTGCACAATCTCATCATTGAGGCTCCCGTTGAACATGCCGATCGCCGCCTGGAGGTCCATGTACCGCCTCGAATGCTTGCCGTCCTTCCGAAGGTGCTGCTTGGATGAGAGGCCGTACAGGATCTCGCACACGGTTGCCAAGGTCAGGCATGTATCAGGTCGAGGGGGTTCTCGTCGCACACGTCGAATTCTCGATATTCGCGCCTCGATCCAAGATGTCATCTTCACATACGTCGTCTGCAACCTGTAGAGCTTCGAGATACAATACTGCATCATCGTGTGCGGCTTGAGCCCCCGCACTTGGAGCTTGGCCCGATGATGGCCGTGGACCCCGCACGTCTCGATGAACAGCAGTAGGTTCTGAGTGTCTGGGTTCAAGAGTAGAACATTCTCCCCCCCCCAAAAAAAACACTGCCTCTTCAAGAACAGCACGTTGCCACTAGCTCGATCGCACATCGGCTGGAACGTCATGCTGCCCACGTCTTTCAAGAAATTGGCCATCTTCGCGTGGCTGTCGTATCTGTGCAGGTCTGGGATTGTGGCCATGATTGCAGGGTCGATCGCGTCAGCCGGTGTGCCCTCCCCCACCCGAGGTCGACAAATCCACTCCTCCGAAACTGTGATCGCGTTCCACTCCCCGTCGTGGCTGGCGCCGAGCGTGAAGTGGTACTGGCCTCGCTGCACAAGCGTCTGATGAGAAACTGCTTTGAGCCGCTTCCGCGCATTCTTGAACGACTCGCGGCTCTTGAAATTCAGCTGGACCTCATCCCACATGTGGCAATGCGTAACGTGTGCAAGCCTCTCCTCGGCACGAGCACTAGGACTCCGCAAGGCCGCGCCGCATCTCCGAAGTGTGTCGACGAGACCGTCCATCTGGCGCTGCTGAATCACCTGGCAACCCATTTCTAACAACCGATGGCTCTTGACGCCCAGGCTGGGCGTGCGGTTCAGCGGCAAGTGCAAGGCCCGAACACAGAGGCCGAAATGATCTGGCGTGAGGTTCTGCTTTTTCATCTTCCCCAGCTGGTGGCACTCTTTGCCGAGTAGTTGCGAGGCGCCTGGCAGCATCACAGCGACAGTGTCCAGCGCAACCTTTTTGTCGTTGCACTCGGCATCTTTCTCGACCAGCTTTCTCTTGAGACATTGAATGGATCGTGTGCTCCGTGCAGCGCTAGCTCGATCACTTCCGAAACGCCGATCAACATGCCGTGGCACTGGAGCTGGTGCTGCTAGAAGGGCCATGCCGCCGACCTCGATCTGCTGCTGTTGCGAGGCGCTGTTCTCGACTGTGTCGTCGGCTGCATTCTCCGGCCTGCTCAGAAGGCGAAGACCAAGGCCATCGAGATCAATATGAGCTTCATGCATTAACAAAATTCCCACGTAAGATATGAATAATACTTTCATGACCTCCATCATTGAGCCAGAACGGCTTTGGTTATCTTCGCACTCGCAGTCTGATGGTTATCTTCGCTCCCCCAGCCTATCGTAACTCATCTTCGCGCCCCTGGCCGCATCTGTCCTGGCGCCTCTGGCGCCTAAGCACGCTCCTTCGCGTGGCCCGACACACTTCGCCCCTGGCGCCTAGCACGCTGGAGGTGGAAGCGGGAGGGTGGAAGGAAGGGAGAGGGGCCGCAGAGCGGAGGATGGGAGCTAAGTAGGGCAAGGATTTGACGAGAGGAGTGATATACGATGACGCTGACAAACAGGACTGGGACAGAGCGTGAGAGGGACGAAAGGGCTTCAGGAGTCTTTTGGATACTGCATGAGCCTCTGCACGATTATCTTCACACGTAATTGCCGCGGATATCTTCGGGCGAACCTCGTCTCGATCATTGTTGCTGGTGAAACAAGGCATGATGAAGTTGTCGGGATGCGGGGATGCGCATTCATATTGATCTCACTGTTTCTTCCTCTCTCTTGGTTTCGGGGATCCTGGTCATCTATATTCTTCGGAGTTGCTGATTTATGCTAAAGCCATCATTTGTTTGGTGCTCCTCCGCCTGCTCCTTCATCTGCTCTTCCTCCTCCTCTTCCTCCCCGCCTTAACCCCCTTTTGGTACCCCCTGAGCCCATGCGGCAACCGACATTGCTAATTCGTTTGCTGGCTTTTCCAGAATATGACTGAGTGCCAATGCGGGGAGGGGGTACACGTGGAAATATATATCAAGACCATCTGAGAGGGGAGACTGACGTCCACGAGGCGGCGGGCCTTCTTCCTCGCCCCTCCGCGCCCCTCCCACTCCCTCTTCGTCCCCCTCCCTTTCTCACTCTCCTCCCCTCCAGTCCCGCCCCGTCCTCCTCCCTTTTTTGTTTCTCTCGGGCCAGGGAGGCATCAAGAGCCAGAGGGCCTACTAAGAGGCCCGCAAAGGAGGCCTCATCAAGAGGGCCGTCCTCTTGATGACCCCTCTGTTGCAACCTATCTTGATGGCCTTTTTGGGGCCCTCTTTTGCCAAACCACAGTCGGGGGCCATCTCTGCCCCGCAGACGCACCCAAGTCGAATCCGCAGCGAACGTCCCGAGAAGGACGCCGAGGACGACGACGACGAGGAGGACGACGAGGAGGACGACGAGGAGGACGACGAGGACGACGACGAGGAGGACGACGAGGAGGACGAGGAGGCCGACGACGAGGCCGACGAGGAGGACGACGACGAGGACGACGAGGAGGACGACGAGGACGAGGAGGACGGCGAGGAGGACGACGAGGAGGACGACGACGCCGACGAGTCGGATCGAAAACGGGTCGGATCGCCGTTCCTGGCTCTGGCTGGTCTCGACGGGCGCGGGTGGCTCGAGCCGCCCGCCGAGGCGGGTCGAGCCGAAGCTGGCTGGGCTGGGCCTCGCGGCCTCGGCCGGCGGACAGTGGCGCCGAAGCGGCTCGCGGGCGGCACGGGGAGGTCCCGGCGCCGGAGGAGGGCGCTCGTGACCCCCCAGAGGCGAGCGCCCCAGCGCGTGATTTGCGTCGCGTCGAGGAGGGGGGGGGCGGGGCGAGGGGAGGGGGCAAGGGGCAAGGGGGGGGGGATGGGGGAAAGGGGGGAAGGGGGCCAGGCGAGAGGGGAAGGGAGGAGGGGAGAGGGAGGCAGGTGCATGAGAGAGGATCTGGGAGGGGAGGGTGTCGGGAGGAGGGGGAGGAGAGTAGAGCGGTCTGGGTAAGGAGGATGGGAAGGAGGGGGCGACGGCGACGGCGACGGCGACGACGGCGACGGCGGCGGTGGCTGCGGCGGCGACGATGACGACGACGGCGACGGCGACGGCAACGGCGACGGCGACGGCGACGGCGACGTCGACGGCGACGGCGGCGGGATGGCGGCGGCGGCAGCGGGGGCGGCAGCGGCGACGACGACGACGACGACGAGGACCAGTAGGTGGGGGCGCAGTGGGGTGGAAGCATGGCAGGAGGAAGGAGGAGGAGGAGGAGGAGGAGGAGGAGGAGGAGGAGGAGGAGGACGGCGACGACGACGATGATGAAGACCCAGCAGTGAGGGCGCAAATCAGAAACGAGAAGGACGAAGAGGGGGTGCACGACGAAGAGGACGCACGTCGCCCCGACGAGCCCCCTCGGGGCCCTTGTCGGAGTAGCAGAGGATGTCCAGCAGCTCGGACGCGAACTTGACCGCGGCGACCGGGCCGGCAATGTACGCGGTGGTGCCCAGGTACTCGAAGGTGCACGAGGTGGCCTCGGCCCCGAGGCGGTGCTCCTCCTCTTCCCTCCTCCTCCTCCTCCTCCTCATCCTCCTAATCCTCCTCCTCCTCCTCCCTCAATCTCCCCCCCGTCCTCCACGCGGGCGAGTTAGTTATCAGATAGGGCCGGGGTCTGCGCAAGACGTCGCCCCAGTGCCGAGGGCGACTTAGGAAACAGCTCGTGGGAGGTCTTCGCATGAGCGAGTAAGGGCTCTACATTGAGACCGATGAAGGGTCAATTAAGCCAGACAAGGGTCAATTAAGCCAGGCAAGGCGGCATGAACTCCCGAAGCAGATCCAGCGGAAGTGTGAGCGGTGCTGAGCGCATTTCGACGGGACTGTTGCCCGACTGGGCTGGCGTTCGGCCGCGGATGTGCTAGCGATGATGCTGCATCTCCCCTGGAGCTGCATCCTGATGAAGGCCGGTTGGCCTCTCGAGCTCGCGCGCCGCTCCTCCTCCTCCTCCTCCTCCTCCTCCTCCTCCTCCTCCTCCTCCTCCTCCTCCTCCTCCTCCCCCTCCTCCTCCCCCTTCCCCCCCTCCCTCCTCCTCCTCCTCCTCCTCCTCCTCCTCCTCCTCCTCCTCCTCCTCCGCCCAGCCTTCGGGCGTCCTCGCGGGGCCCCTGGGGCCATCAAAACAAAAACGGCTCGGGATGAAGAGCAGGTCCCCCGGGGGGAAGGGTTGGGACTTGTTTGGGCGCCCGAGTTATCCGGGGTAACTCGGGTCCGGGGTAACGCGGGTTTGGATACCCGAAAAAACGAACCCGAGTTAGCCCTGACCCGAGTTACCCCTGATGATTCGGGGCTCTGGACGCCCGAGTTATCCGGGGAAACTCGGGCCCGGGGCAACTCGGGTTCGGAATCCCGAAAAGCGAACCCGAGTTAGCCCTGACCCGAATTACCCCTGATGATTCGGGGCTCTGACTTGTGGTGACCGCGCGTTGGAAGAACCGGCCCGGCATAACACCCTACGAGCAACAGGTGTGAGGAGGCGGGAAAAAGGAGGCGGGGGTCGGCTAGTGGAAACGTGCTGGGGCACGGCTGAGGACACGGTCATGTGCACCTTCGAACTATTTTACAAAGGGGCCGTGGCCATCCAGACCAAATGGCCGGCATTGAAGCGAGGGTACGATTCCAGAAACTGTTGTGAAGAAGTTTCAAGCGAAACGGGTGCCGAACTGAACGATCACGAGGGACGGAACCCAACTCCCCATGCCAGCTGAGCGACGGAGGGAGGGAGGGCTGAAGGGGCGGGGGAGAAGAGGCTAAGAGGGCAATAGAGAAAAAACGGGGTGCGTTGGATGGGGGAGAAGAGATGGCAAGAAGGAGGCCGAGGCGAGGGGGGCATAATCAAATATACATATATATATACACATGCATTACAACAAATCCAATGACATCCACACATACATATACACACAGAGGGCCGATGGAAGAAAATACATGTCTCATTGTTTCATGCTGTTTGCAAAAAGGAACAAACTGTATTGACCCGTTTGTTAGGAGGGGCGGACGTGACCCCAGGTGCCGCACGTCACGCCCGCGCGTCGCGCCCGCGCGGCGAGCGCCCCAACGGGCGCGCGGCCTGGCAGAGCTTCTTCTGCATGGATCCCTTCTTGCCGATGCACCTTCCGACGAATTCCTGCGCGGGGGGGGGGGGGGCCCTGGCACGCGGACCCTCGGAGGCTGCGGGAGGCAGACGGAGACGCAGGAGGGAGGAGGGGACGGGCACGTGATGATGAGTGCGATGACGCGGACCATGATGAGACGATGGTGGTGATGATGGTGACGAGGAGGAGGAGGAAGAGGAGTAGGATGATGATGGTTTTGGTGATGATGATGATGATGGTTGCGATAGCGATGGCGATTGCAAGGATGATGGTGATGTTGATGCTGCTGATGCTGCTACGGCTGATGACGACGATGACGATGACGATGGACATGATTATGCTGATGGTTGATCTGATGATGTTGCTGATGCTGGTTGCGATAGTGACGGAGGTGGTAAGGAGGCTGATGTTAATGCTGCTGCTGATGATGTGTGCATGTACGTATGCTCCTGGAGAACGGGCCTCGGCCCTGTGAGAGCCAGGGGAAGCTGGACGCATGTGGAATGGAACTACGCGGAGAGAAAACACACTAGAATCTCGCAAACGAACGCCAATCGACAACCGCACTCATGCGATGTGCCCACAACTCTGGTTGGTAGGCCACGGTTCCAAGGCTGGTGGATATGAGGGCAACGAGAAAGAAAGGATCCCCACCTCCAGGGACGCAGCTTGCGGGCGTGGCCTTGTCGACCGCGCCCGAGAGCCAGCCCCTGTGCTCGCGCAAACCTGGCGCCCCTCAAGTGGAGGACCTGGGGGGGTTGAGGCGCGCGGGGCCCCGTTCGCCTATTGTTCCAATATGTCCCG